TGTTTCATTCCAGCTTTTGAAATTAATGTCAGGTGAAAACGGTCGGTCCACCCAAGAACGTCTTCTCAACTTAGGCATATCACCCAACCAGAGCATGGCTTCAATTGCAGCTGTACTCCGTCAGAGGATAGTCGACGAATGGCAAGGGCCATTCGTGGATGAATATCAACAATTCTTTCACGATTCGGAATTGGACGTCTATACAGAAGCAGAACATTTTCGTCAGAGCGGAGAATTTAGTCGTCCTTTAGGAGACGCGATGCCACTAGCAATGGCTAACATTTTGCAGATGCCTATTGTACTTATTACTTCCGCTCAAAATATGCCTATAGTTACAATAACGCCAAGACGTATCACGGATGAAGTGAGTGTAGTCCTCGCATACACGCAAAGAGGCGTAGGTCATTATGATGCGGTAACCCAGAACAACATTGCAAAGGTTGGCGGGGACTCACCTGACAACGATAGCGCAAAGATGATAAAAGAAAGCTGCAAAGGTATCTGTCACCATCAGGTACACATTACTATGGTTTCTCGGCTGATGCTGCAAGTTCCTTACAATTTGGAATGTTCTTCCAACAACCCAATTGGCAATATTGAACCGTTGAACCATAGAAATGCGTTGTATATTGTCGTAACTTTTGTGGCTGTGTTTAGTTGTTTAGCTGTCCAAAAATATTTGTACTTAGACCCGCGCTAAAATGGTGGAGAAACTGATTTCTTGCCAAAATGCAGTCTTTGAATAACAAATACTGATTATCCAACGTGCACAGTCAATCACTTAATTAGGCACTTACCAGGCTACAAATAAAGTCTGAGGCCAGTACAAATAATCTTCGAGACTATTAACTCTAGAAAAGCAGATATTAATTACTAGATTTGAACTGTACTCTACTAAGTTTTGGACGGGGGACGTCTGCACTGAAATCCACCCTGGAGAGCTTGATTATTGTGATTATGATTATGATTATGATTATGATTATTATTACTATTATTATTATTATTACTATTATTATTATTTTAAATATTTTTATCATTATTAGCATTGTTTATGTTAATTGTTTTAATTGGTCTGTTATAGTAAAAAACCTGTCATTTCGTTGCAGAAAAAAAATCTATGGACCCTTCAGTGGCTGTTAAGGGATGTCGTTGTGGAAGCAACACCTCCAAAAGAACGAACGTCGGAGGGAGGGTCTACAAGTCCAGAACAAGATGTTCATGCTTGTCAGGGGGAAGAAAATGTACAGAGCATTGCAGATGCCAAGGGAAGTGTGGAGGGGACGTCTGCTATGGTGGAAATGGTAAGATTTCTACAGGAAATCAAAGAAAAGGGAGAAAGAGGAAGCAACACGTATTGCAGGAGCACCGACGGAATCCTTCCTCTTCGAAATTTGCCAAGCTGAAGGGGGAGGTCGTAAAGGATGGTCCTTTTAATCAACTAGAATATTCACTTCTTTGTGCTATCATCCTTATCACGGAGCAAATGGCTGATCAAGATTTATCCAGTATCAAGGCTTTTAAGATTTTTAATGACCTTGTGCATATGGCGGATGAGTTTCAATTCAATTTACCCATATCTTTGAAATCTCAAGATGAAATAACAAAGGAACTCAAAAAAGTAGCGCGAATACGAAAAGTTCCTTTTTAGAATTGTGTGGTTCCAGAAAATATCCATACCCCCCACCCCCACGGATGGTTTATGGAAATTCCTAGGGGGTGGGGGGGCTAAAGGGTAGAATTTTCCGAGGGGTACAGGGGGTGCCCACGAGAATAATTTTCCACAGGGTTGTAAAAGACGCGATCGATCATACGAGACATACTTAAGTATATGTGGATTATTTTGATTCGTAGCACGACAAAAATTAGAAGTAGATGCCCTTTCGAGAAAAAAAACTTCAAGATGTTTGTCTCAAACGTCGATCGTCTTCTTTGCTGGGAGTTCGCTATCATCTCCGCTCTAACGATTTGTCCACACGCTCTAACGATTTGTTCTAACGCTCTAACGGATTGCTCTTACTATCTAACGGTTGATTCTAAACAGCTAACGGTCGGTCCGTCCAACGTTTGACTTTGACGAAGTCTTTAAATAAATATTGTCTTTCGGGCAAATCGATCGCAATTCTCAACAGGTTACTTCTCCGGGAATAAATTCTAGCGCATCGATTAATAATAATTTCTTTATGTCGAACATGTATCTAGATTGTGGACTCGACTGCAGATAGTCTGACAAAAACTTACGCTAATCGAGAACAAACGTCGTCTAACTCGGCGATATATTTCTCGAGCTTTGTGTAAACAACTTTATGCAAATTTCTGTTGACATTCAGTGAGCTCGTCGCGACAAAGCGTTGCGTGACGACCCAAATGAGACCTTTGCTGTATTTTATTATTGACTTCTAATAGAGTACCGTTGAAGGCAAGCTGTTTGTCCAACAGACCTTTCGCCAAATCAACTTTTGCCCGAAAATAATAACGATCTGTTCCTTCTTTGTGGAGAAGACTTTCGATCACGTGCTAGGCAACGAAATAGATCATGTTTCACTGATGTTCATTTCTGAACATGAATCGATGCAAATATGGGACGCAAAATGAATGTTTGCATATTTTGTTCTTTTATAACCCAAATAGGTTTTTTTGTAATTCCTGAGATTTGTTTAACTGCAAGTGTAATTCATTCAAAGTTAAACTTAATTACAAACATCGAGAGATCGACTTTGTGGTGACTTTAGGACCCGAGGCCGAACAAACGATAAACTTTGTTGTAAGTTAGTTTTCTAGTAGATCCGTTTTGAAATTCGAATTTCTTCACATAGTTTAATGTTAAATCAATAGTTAACTTTGAAGTTATGCTGTAAATGTTGCATTTGAGATGAAACTGTCTTAGACAAGACGTGTACATAGTGAAACTTAATTACAGTACCAGACATCAACTTTGTCTAACTTTGTCTGTAGGTAGATTCGTTTTGAAATTTGAAAATGTTCACATAGTTTTATTTCAATGAATAATTCAAATTTAAAGTTATGTTTTAAATGTTTTCTTGAGATGACATAAACTTATTAATCTCTGTTCTGCCTCGCGCGTTTCGCTGGAAGGACTAATTAAAAAAGAGAGACCGCTCATAGTCTATCAAGCGTGCTCTACCTACGTAAGAAATACATATTGTCTTGTAAAAGATTACAAATAGGTCAAAGATTATAAAAAAAATGTGTCTTAAGATGAGAACAGTTAATTTTAAGCAGTACACGGTCGATTATCTCTAAATATGGCAAATTAAGACCATGAAAAGGAAAATAGGAAATTCCTGGGGGATGGGGGGGTTATACATG